TGTTATATTGCTACAACAGCTTCTCAGTTCAAGATTTATCACCCAAACGACAAACACAATCATTACAAGTTAGTCTCGGAACAGCAAATACTCATCTACTTGAGTAATAATCTAGTGAAATAATCTGGAAAACATTTTGATGGTGCATGCCATCAATAAAATTTTGTGTCTCCAATGTTTGCTTATATAAAAGGTACCCTGAGTACCCAAATATATGCAAAAAATTTTAATCTCACAAAATAACTTTGGAGATGACCGACTATAGAGAATCATTAAAAATAAATGTAAATTTAGTGGTGGATAAATATGGGTAAATAGGTCCTCAAGCACTGTTAATTTGAGATAGTGTTTGATAGAATGTTCTCCAAATAAAGGAATCTAGCTAACTCGACTGTTTTTATTGGTTCTTTATTGTGGTGTTAGAGATCTGGCCTATAATCATCCTTCCACCACCAAAATTAGGGTCAAAAATGTCCTTCAACCTACAGGCACAAGGAAAGAGGCTATCCTGGTCAAATGGCTTATAACAGAAAACTTGAAAAATATCCTCCCTTAACAAAATACTGAGACACAAAGGCTGTCCAGATAGATGAACTATTTGCTTTTCCTTGTAAATGCCCTTAAGATTGTGCTTTATGGTTCTCAAATCACCTCTCTCCAACACCAGTTTCTAGGTAGGCCTATAAACCCGCACTTCTACTTTGAACCTGCCGCCTGTTCACAGAAACAAATATGAGCACAGACTACCTCAGCTTCATGAATGGCAGAATCCCTGAGCAGTGATCCCCAAACACTGCTAAGACTGCCACACAGACCTCAATCACTGTATACTACAACATGAAATCCCTCTCTCTTCTCAGCTAAATTCCCCTACATCTCTTCCTTTCCCTGCCCCTTCCCTTTATATCCAACTTCAACTAGATTCAAATCACTTTATGTTTCAGCACCAGTATTCCTTGTAAACATGCAGAATGCCCGCTAAGAACAACTGCATTTTTGGCACTGAACCAATAAACATCATGAAAAGGCTCATGTAAGTCAGAAGGTTCTCCAAAATGTTCTGTAACATGATTCAACCATCAGATGACAGGAAGCATTAAAAAATACAAGTAATGCTACAAAGGGAACCTTATTTTTTTTCTTCCTGTTTGGACACTGGGCAATGTAGACACTCATCAACAAACAACAACTAAAAAACCTCCTAAACTGTTATTCTATAAAACTGTTAATGAAATGGTGTCAATTGTCATCAATAATGCAATCCAAGGCTTACTTCATGAGAAGAATCTTAAAAATATAACATCTCAGTGATGCCCCTGCACCTTATGTTCTCAGAAAAAAAAATATTCTCTAGATACAACCAGAAATAACAGATTTCGCTGGCTCTTTTAGCCCCATGTATTAAAAGGAAATAATTGAAGGCTTGTTAATCCATAGGGAAAGCTATGTTACTATGTGTTTATTACTATTAAGTTCCAAATATAAAAACAACTAGTTCAGCTACAAGACAGTAATCATATGTAGAGGTTCAACTGCATAGTCTGAGATAACAAGTATCTATATTTTTGGCCTACTTTCAAATGTAAAAAATCTAGTTTCAGGTGATCTGAAGCATATTTTTAAAATTTCATTGCTGATCTAAAGTATAATCATCTAAAGTAGCCATGAAAGGGGACAGAAAATACTTTTCATCACTAATATTCAAAGACAAAGGAGTCTCAGAAATGTTATGAAAAACACAAGAGAAAAGTCTACTAAGATTAAAAGGGACCTGGAAATGAGTATCTAGCCATGAAACCCTAAACCTCAGTATTGCTTCCTTGTAATCTGAAGGCCAGTCTATTTGTAACACCTACAGAAAACAAAACTACTTGCAATGCGGTTATGTTGACTCAAGAACATCATTTGTGCAAACTGTAATAGAAAGTCCATGTCATAGTGGGTCTTTCTGGTTTACCATTACAGAAATATTTCAACTAAATGTAAGGACATGATTCCCATTCCATATTAACCACACTCTCCCGAATAGGATCATTTTGATTGTACTCCACTTAAAACCCTTGTGTCAACATTACAGAGCAAGGCACTACCTACACTGGAAGGAAATTATCTTAAAACCATCTGTTTAAAACTTAATACCATTCTTCAAACATTGCCAGTCCTAACTCTTGACTTCCAAAAGCAACTAATAATTTTCGAAAGTAATTATCTTTTAAGAGGATTTCCAATAAACTATCCTGAGTGCAAAACCTTTTACAATCAAACCAATATTACATATGTGTTAAAAAAAAAAAAACTGGTATAAATGACTACATGTGGAGGTCTGGCATACACCTGCCTGTCTGAATAGCATAGGAGACAGACTCAAATGATTTTCTTTTGTCAAATAGCTAGGCAAAACACTCCACAAAAGTGAACAAGAAATATCAAACAGCTACTGTACTGCAGAATGAAAAGTTGGCTTACTGTCTGGGGGATGGTAAGGTTCAAGTCACAGGAAACAGCTGGATGCTAGGTCTGTTGATGTTTGCATGCCTCAGAGGATGTTTGCATGCAATGAACAGGACCTCCACAGACCTCTACATGCTAGCCATCAGCTGATTTCTAAAATACCTTTGTTAAAATTAACTTCTTACCAAGTTCTTCTAAAGTAGTACAAAATGTTTGATGTGAAAGATCTTGAAACTAAAATTTTAGGCAATCAAATATAGCCCCTAAACTGCCTGGAAGTTCATGCTCATTTTGTCTTGCTTTCCAAGATTCAGTATTCAAAACCTTACCAGTACAAAGCCTTCAAAGGAATTACCAGATGGTATACAGTTGGTTAGCAAAGGAGTGCGATGTTATAAGAAGTATACTACCAGTTGTTTTTATCATAAAGTCATGTAAAAAACTGAGAGGCTTTTTACAGAAAGGGCTTTAAAATAAAAAGCATAATTGGCAAAAGCTGTCCATATGTTATGCTTATGAGAATTTCAACTCCCAGCTAAGTGGTAGCATGGGCCTGTAATCCTGGCACTCTAGAGGCTAGTCAGGAAGGAGAGCTCCAGACCAGCCCGGGCTACATAGCAATTCCTTGTTCTCAAGATAAAACACAAAATGGTAATTCAAACCTTTAAGAATAACCTGTGAATAATAGAATGAAGAAATATCATTTATATGTGAATTTTTAAATATCTGATGTGTTTCTGTGTTGTCCACAAAAACCAGAAAAACAAACCTTAACACAGAAAAAAGTCCTCACATTTATTGGGGATGACTTCAAATAGTTACTGACTTTAAAGTGCATGATATATTCCCAATGTGAATGTTAAAATGCATTACCCTTTGCCCAAAGCAGGTTATTTAACTGTAAAGAAGGTCAGATTTTTCCACTTTCAATTTCTATTGAAGCATCAGTTTGTTTTCCTCCCCAACCAGAGAACTGCCATTTGTATAGGGGAGTTAACTCATCTATCTTACAGTGTTCTCAAAAGGTTATCCCTAGAGCTTGAAAATGAGAATATTTGAGAATAAAAGTTCATCAACATACCTTTAGTTGAATTCCAGCTTAAGGGATTTTTACGTAAATCTTGTGGGTGATGAAAAGCAAAAAGCAACCAATCTCTGCAGTGATTAGCCTGTTCTTTAAGACTCTAGGTCACCTGCCCCCGGATTTTCTAATTGAACATGGAATCCATGGGGTTTCCCAAAGGTGGGCCAGAATGGATCATTTCTATCTTCACTTCAACAGGGAAGCAATGGTACATAATCCTTTAGTTAGGCTTTTTTTTTTTTTATAGCTGTTACCTATTGTCTCTTATCCACATTTCAGGAGATAAGCCTGTGAATGTGTCCATGTTTTGACTGTAGAGTTTAAAAAACAATGTTCCTCCTGTTTCCTCTAACTCCTATTTACACACAGACCACCTCTGCTGCTCAGCAAGTGTTTTTTTCAGTGTGACCAGTGTGCAACTGACATTCACATAGCTTACAGATCCTAAGAAAAATACTTTTGGCTAAACCTCTACAATCATGACAAGAGATTGATTAAAATGCCAAGATAAGAAACAATTTATTATAGAGAGAAGAAAAATTTCTCATCCAAAATATAGAAATCTGTACAACTTTGCCACAATCAATATACATGAACTGTACAAATTTACACCAGTTCATAATTTACCAAATAAAAGATGACTAACAAAGTTCACAAAATAGATGGTGGTTTGTGGAAAAGACTTTTACCCAATTAAGTACAAGGAAAGTTACAAACCAGACCTCCACTTTCTAAAAATAAGAAGTTTACTCAGTCTTAGAAAACTACAAGCTAGCAAATGTACAGAGAGCTGGCTGGTGCTAACACCACAGTTGAGACAGTGTCTTTAATTTTTTTTTTTAAGGATCTTTTAAAAAGCCTGTTGCCAAGGCAGATTCTGGTCACTTGCTACTTTCAAAGCCAAAAACACAATACAAGGTCTGACCATTTCCCCAGGTCATGCTTACTAGTTTGTCTTTATGTACATTTATACATATTTAAGTGCTAGGTAAAAGTCTTGTCATAAAATTTCCAGTACTACCATGTTTAAAACGTTGAGCTTTCCTACTGAGCTGCCAAAAAGATTACTGATAACAATTTCAAGTGTTAAGAGTGCAAATTCCTCTGCGAGATCTACTGCAGAGAAGGGTTCTTAGAAATACAGATTTTCCTTAAAGGGACTGATGTCAAAATTTAGGTATAATGTCTGGGAGAAACAGAAACCACCCTAGGACTTCACTCCCTAGCAAATAAAGTGATCATTTTACTTGGACTCACAGGCTATTAAATCATTGAAAGGTACTGTCCAAACTATGGCACTGTTACTTAAAAATTTTTTTTTCTTTTTTACCATTCTATCTTGTGCCAGATCTTCACAGCTGTGACATGGTTTTAAATCCATAATCCATCCCCAAGAGGAGCCCACCCAAAGCAAAAAATCAAATTTATCCATCCATTATAAGATGATCCATCCATAGACTATATCTTAACCCGATACAGTCATCATATTGTAGTTTTTGGAAGGGCTTGTTCTGCCCAAGAGCAGTTCCTCCTTACAGCTGATTCTGCTGTCTACCATTTGCACGTTGGAGCTGTTTTGAGTGCTACCTCCTGCTGGTGAGGCTTCGTACAGCACACAGATGGAGCCATCCTCTCCGATTCTGTAGGACACTTCGTAGGGGTCGACCCAGAGTGTGAGTTCACTTGGAAGAAGCCTGAACAGCTCCTGACTGCTCAGTCCAATGCGCTGGGCTGCCTGTCCAATCAGAGGATCCATTTTATGGTTGATGCGAATACAACGGTAACCTGATCCCTTGCACGGCTTTTCTGGGAACCAGTGATGTTTATAATGTTCTACAGAAGAAAACAACAACACAAGACACAAGGCTTAGCGTCGGTGCGGTGAGCTCCGCCGTCCCGTCCTCCGCCCTCCCGCGGGCTCCTCGGAGGGGCGAAAAACGCCAGGGCCAACTCTCCCTGACTCCCCCCAGAAAAAGAAAAAAAAGAAAAGAAAACGTCCCAGGTGGGGTTCCCGGCGCTGGCGGGCCGGAGGCGTCCGCCGGCAACGCGGTGGCGGTGGGTCGAGCACGCACG